TTGAACACCTCCGGCTTTTCGGCCTAGCGAGCCACTCAGGGATAGTATTTCTTCAACTTGTCCATGTTGACTGGCTGGGAGAACTCTAGGCCATTGAGGCCTATCAGAACGAATGGATCAAATTCCACATTTACACATGCTAACATGCTACTAATACAAGATTACAACATTATGAAGCTCAATTTCTTGATTTATCCGTATGCATGTCCCAAAATATGTCAAACTCAACATCAATATAACAAATTCATGCATTCAAGCTCATATCTTCTCAATTTGTACATGCATGTGGTGAATCAGCCGCATTCTCAACTTAGATGACACAAATGGTGATCAAAACATGAGTTTCAACTAAAACTCTACATGAATCATGTGTTCCAAGCTCAAACATGCAGATTCAAAGTGATTTCTTACATGCATGAGTTCTAAGACTTCAAACTCAACAAAAATCAACTCATTACATGTTCTTGATCACAAACAACCCTTGAACTTACAAATTACAAGTAAGAGTCCAGGAATTCACTTACCTAGGAGTTTCAACACTCAAGCTCTAGCCAAATCTTGAGCTAGATCTTCAATTTCCCAAGTCTTGAGCCCAACTTACACAAATCTCCCCCTTTTTCTCTCCATGGCCGGCCTCTCTCTCACTCTCACTTGTCTAACTCAGATTTTGAGTTTTTAAGAGAGCTAAAGGAGAGTGCAATACAAATATACAACAAGCCCCACTAACAAATATTATGATATAAAATAATGGGGTACTTAATTTATTATTTTAATCAGTTTAAATTGACCAGAATCAATTTTCAATTAAATTTCACCGTAGGCTCCAAAAATTATGCCAATCACAATGGCGAAATCAATTTCGGGTTCTGTGGCCGATAAGGCCTCCAATTTAATTTCCAAAGCTGATTATTCACACAGATATTCCTACGGTGAACAGATAAAACTTTCAAAATCACCTATATTCACATAATGGCACATAAAATCATGGTAAACACATAATCACACTCAATTTAAGGACCAATTAGCATATTACGGAACAGGGGTATTACACATACCTTGCCTTTTGTGCCTTAATTTCATCACCAATGGCCACTAATTTGGGCATGGTTGAGGCCCATCCATTTTGGTTTAAGTCCATTGTGCATTGTGTATGCCATGTAGTTCATAGCATTCAGTATGCCATGTTGTTTGCATGATTAATTTAGCATCGTGTATGCCATGTTCATTGTATTGTGTATGCTAGTTACCATTTGCTTGTGTGTGCTAGTGTCATGAGCATTGTGTATGCCATGTAGTTCATAGCGTTGTGTATGCTAGTACGCTAATTGCATGTTTGAACATTTGTCCCTTGCATGTTTGCATGCTTAAGGTGCATTGCATTGAGTTGCATGGTTGAGTCGCATTGTGCATGCCATGTTTGTGTTGCATTGTGTTTGGAATAGGTGTTAGTCCAAACACGGGAAAAGAAGGACGTTTCATACTGGAAGTGATGAAACGTGCCTTAATTTCCGGTCGCCGACGCTCCTGATCATACATGATAGAGTTCTAGGCTTTATGTGTTTATGTGTGCATTCATTTTCACATTGAATTGTGCAACTTCACCTCTCGGCCATCATGCATTGAAATACGCGATTGGTGGCCCGAGGGTCGAGAAATACACTCCCTTGAGCTCATGACATGATAGGGAGGGTGGTTGTGCACACATATCTTGCAAATACATTGCCATGCCCTTTCTTGCTCTCTGTTGCAGCAAACTGGAATTCAGCACCAACAACTGGTCGGCCACCCTCCCACAGGTCCCCAAGGTGAAGTTTCAGCTTTCTGGAGCTTGGTGCAGTGTTCTGAGAACAATTGCAAACAGAGGCAAATTGGGGCATCGCATTGGATTTCCGAACGAAGCGACCGAGCATGCATCCAGTCTTCTCCCTCTGAGGACCTCCTGCTTTTATTGCTTTCATTAGCTGCCATGCTTATATAGCTAGCTTTTGCTTTGTTTTGTACTTTAATAGTTAATGCGTTTAGCTATTTCAATTTGTTTTGTAATAATTAGTTAACTAGGATTAGTTAATTAATTGTGTTGTAATAATTAGTTTAATTGGCTTAGATTAGCTAGTTAGCTTCTTATTCGGTCCCTCCGTCGAGAGGGCCAATTGCTGTAATAAGCGTGCGTGTGTGTGATGCATGTCTTCCAACCCCCATTTCTTTCTCCCTTTTACTTAACCACTTACGATGGTTAGTTTTAGGGCATGTTTCAATTAGCATACCTCATGCTTGCATGCATGCATCCATTCATCTGTATTGCATGCACCAGGCTCAGCACATCATACTAACTGCATTGTATTTCAATTCCTATTTGAATATATGTATCAAATTGTTGCATTTCACATGACATTCTAGGTAGCCGAGCCTATCTTAATTGCATTCTCGCATGTGTTGCATTAGCCATCTTAACATGAACTAGGATCATGCATGATTTCTAACTAGTTCTTTGTTTTGGCTCGGAGTACACTATGAGTGTTTACGCTTTAGCATACTGCATGTGTGTTAATGTTGCCATGATAGCATGCTTGCCGTGAGGCTAACTGCTTATTTGATTAATTGCCTGAATGCCTGTGGGTGAAGGTTGGATTGCTTGAATTGGAGCAATTCATCGAAATCCCTAATTTAGCCTACTTGCGAGTAGCAAACTTCAAACCATTTTCAAACAAATATGCAATGTTTTGTTCCAAATTAGGAGATCTAGTCTATACTTGTATGTTGTGCGCATCAAATAGTAATTCAAGCTAATTAACCGGAATAAGAACGCATGTGTTTTCAAAAACAAAATATCGTGTTTAGTACAGGCCGATCTTTGATCAGGCGAGCGGGGGTGCTCATTACATGACCTTCCCCTCTCGTACCCAAGTTCCCTAGCTGAGACAACTTTGGTGATGACGGACACGTGGCCTTAGGCACGAGTCAAGGTTTCCTAAATTCTCCCAAAATAAAATATTTAGGTGGCAACTCTGCATCTGGCAAAGCAGTCCATGTTTGGCACTTCTTTATAAAAATCAGTTTTCCAAAACAATTTGTCGGATTTGGACTCTTTGGTGATTTATCGGTCTTACTTCGCACATTGTAAGATTAGATTTAGAACCATGACATTTGAGTCCGAGCTGTAGTAGCTCAGAACAAACCGAGATCCGTGCCGCCTCGTCGAGCGCACGGATGTCGGGGAGTTCCCGAGAGCGCGTCTACAGATACGAACTACTCAAACTATTTCATTCAAATTTAATCAAAATCTTTTTAAATAATTTCTCTTACCCCAAATTTATCATTTCATTAAATTTGAAAAAAAAAATATAGGGAAAAAATTTGTTTTTATAACTTGATATTGAAATCAACTTATGCGCACATCAACTTGATGAACGATTTGATAAATTCTCAATTTGATTAAAAAAAAAAATGTCTCACCCTTAAATTTGTTGAACATTTGATCAATAGATTAGAAATGATCTTTAAATTTTTTCATTAAATTTAAATTTGAAAAAAAAAATAGTTAAAAAAATTGACTTTAAAGCAAATTAATCTAATAGTCAGTCAGTAAATCAAACGACAATTTTGTTTTTTTCAAAACTTATAAAATAGTCATTTTAAATACTCCTGGGTCTTCACGTTACTACTCTTCTCAAATCTGAATAATTTGCATTTTACTTGCTATTTTCGTATTTAAAATCTCTAAAATTTTTTAGCTATTCATGTTTTTGGTTTTTGTTTTCTTTAATTTTATTCTACAAGTTAACTGATGTTCAAAATTATACAAAAAATAACACATCAACAAAAATGCAACATAAATATTTTATTATATATAATTTATATCGTAATATATTTTTTATATTATGTGACAACTAATGTGGCATTTTCAATTTAATTTTCAACATAAGTTAATTTTACTAATTAATTAGAAGAAGAAAAAAACTTGAAACATGAACAATTAAAGTCAAAAAATAAATAAATAAAATTTAAGGACCAAATTAAAAAAATGATCAAACATAAAAAAAAAATATAATTGGAAAAATTATTATTCAGCGTAAATTTTGAAAAATTATTACATAGAGAGATCAAAAAATTATTGCACAAAATTACTATTCAAAGTGGTTTAGTTTTGATACATGAAGGGAGGTTCAAAAATTATTACAGAGAAATATTTTGTATCATATGTACCTTATAATTAAAGAATAAAATAGTATAATAGCATATTTTTTATGTCGCAATCAAATATAACTAAAATATCTCACGAGTCATAATTAAAATATTCTTATAATTAAATAAGAAAATGACATAACTGGAGATGAAAATAGTACACCCATTTCCTAAGGTGTGTATAGTAGAATTTTTCCTTGATTGATACTTCCTCACCAATCACCGTTCATTATACACCTTCATGTTCCTCAATTATCCAATACAAATAATTAATACTCTACCTTCTCTACTAATCATACTATTATAGAGTACTATGTAGCTGCACTTCCAGACTACCCCTCAACTTGATTAAACATCTTTTTTCTAACGAATCTCATCATTTTGATAACTTTGTTTTGTTTTGATAAACTTGTTTCATTAATTTCTTAAAAAAAAAAAGTTTCATGATAAAAATAAAAAATACTTGTCATTTTTATATTTTAAATATTTATTTTTATCAAATTAATTTCTATTTTTTCAGCAAAAATTAATTTCAAAAATTCAAACTAAACATGGCAAAAGTTTTCCCTCTTTCGGACTGGTTTTTCTCCACCTCCACACCAACTGCTCTGTCTTTTTCTTTAGCTACCTGCTACTCTCTCTCTCTCCTCTTTGATTGTTACCCATCTTTCTTTATATTTTCTTTGATCCTCAAGAACCCAAAAAAAAATAAAAAACACTTCTGGAACTTGACTTTAACCTCTCTCTCTCTCTCTAAACCATAGCAATTATTTTTTAGAGATGGATGTGTTACAATTGTGGGTTATGTTCATTTTCCTTCTTGTGTTCTCTTCACTAGTTCAGGTTTCGAATTCCCAAAACCTGACTTGCAATTCGAACGATCTCAAAGTACTAGAGAGTTTCTTGATTAGGTTAGATTCAGGGACTTTTAATGATTGGGGAAGCTCAAATTCAACTTCTACAAACCGTAATTGCTGTAATTGGTTAGGAATCACTTGTAAGTCATCTTTTTCTCTTGGTTTTCTCATCGATCCTATCGATTCTGGTTGGGTTGTGAAATTAGAACACTCAGGAAAGAGATTGATGGGCATGCTCAACCAAACTAATTTCACTGGTTTGGACCAACTCACAACCCTAAACCTCTCTATCAATTTCCTCGGAGGTTCTCTTCCTCCATCTTTGTTTCAATTGCCGAATCTACAAGTCATCGACCTTAGCAAAAACGATTTCTCTAGTTCAAGTCCGATGAATTTCAACCTCCCTTTTCTCGAGATCTTCAACATTTCTAATAATTCATTCCAGAGCTTGGTTCCTGTGGGGATTTGTGTCAATTCAACTCAAATTCGGATCATTGATTTTGCTGTGAATTACTTCTATGGTAGAATTCCATCTGGGTTTGGGAATTGCAACTCATTAGAACACCTCTGGCTTGGTGAAAATTTTCTCGCCAGAGATATACCGGAGGATATTTTCCAGCTACCGAGATTGAACCAATTGGGTCTTCAGGATAATCGGTTTTCGGGAGAGCTCAGCAGTGGAATTGGTAGTCTCTCTGATCTTGTTGGTTTGGATATATCATTGAATTCATTTTCAGGGCCTATCCCAGATGTTTTTCATAGATTTTCAAAGTTACAAGAATTTTATACTGAATCTAATAAATTTTTGGGTGGAATTCCCAATTCTTTGTCAAATTCTAGGACCATTACTTCACTTGTTTTGAGAAACAAATCTTTGAATGGTGTAATTGATCTGAATTGTTTTGAAATGACCCATCTGGTTTCGCTTAGTTTAGCCACTGATCAGTTCACTGGGCTAGTTCCTAATAATCTCCCCCTCTGTTCGAGCCTGAAAACAATCGGTCTTTCGCAAAACAACTTTACCAGGCAAATCCCAGAAAGCTTTAGGAATTTTCATGGTCTCTCTAGGCTTTCAATATCGAGTTCGATCATTTTTAACCTCTCAACTGCCCTTGATATCTTGCAGCATTGCCAGAACTTGACTATTTTGGCTCTTACTTTAGTTTTCATGGTGAACAATTGCTATCCTTTCCTAGTCTAGGGTTTAAAAATTTGAAGGTTTTCAATATTGCCAATTGCAAACTCACTGGTTGTTCCCCTAGTGGTTGAGTGGGTTGACAAATTTGTAGTTGGGGCTTTGCTTCAGACCCCCAGTGACGTGGCGCGCTGCCATTCGTTGAAAAAAAAATAGTTTTTTTTTTGGGCCAATCACAGGTCTACACGCACGACCGCCAGTGACCCCCACTAGGGGTCTGAGGCATTTTTCTTTGTAGTTGTTGGATTTATCGTGGAATCGATTGGATGGAACAATTCCACCATGGTTGGGTAATTTTGAGTTTTTGTTTTACATTGACTTGTCGAACAATTATTTTACCGGAGAGATACCAAAGAACTTGACTAGATTAGAGTGCCTAATCTCCAGGATGTCTTACCAAAAGACCCTTCTCTAGGCTTGCCATTCCCATTTTTCATCGAATGAGTCACGAGCGTTAGCAGGTTGCAATATAATCAAATTTGGAGGTTTCCACCAACACTTGACCTCAGCAATAACTTTCTCACCGGACCCATCTGGCCCAAGTTTGGAAACCTAAAATATTGCATTATTTGGATCTAAAATGCAACAATTTATCTGTAAATATTCCTGAGGATTTGTCTGGTATGACGAGCATAGAGACTTTGGATTTGTCTCACAACAATCTATCCGGAGCTATACCTCCTTCGTTGGTAAATCTCAGCTTTCTATCCAAGTTCAATGTTGCTTACAATCAACTATATGGGACAATCCCTACTGGAGGGCAGTTTGAAACCTTTCCAAACTCGAGCTTTGAAGGCAACCTAGGTCTATGTAGTGGTGAACATTGGTCCCCGTGTCCGATTAGCAATCAAGTTCCTCAAGTAATCTCTCCTAGCAAGTCAATATGCGAAGAGATTATTGTCAAAATGTCGTTTGGGAGGGGATTTGGTACTGGATTTGGGACAACTGTTGTTGTTATGTTCTTGTTTGTTCTAAACAAATTAACATTTCACAAAAAATAACCTTTGAGTTAAATATTAGAGAGGTTTCACAGAGAGGTCCCATGATATATAAAAGGAGGAACTGTATTCTGGTGAACGAACCATTGATATGATGATTGAAATACTTAAACGATTCAAGATAATTGTGAGAATTTGTGAATTATTTTTGTTTGTCTAGAGGATAGGATAGAATCATATCTTTTGCAATATTTTCCATGCACAGAAGGTGGTTTTCAAATTTGATGGCATTACTCTGTTTTTAGTTTCTATTTGTTTCAATTCTACTGAACCATTTCTTGGTTTGTAATGGACTTTTTGGTAGTAGTTATTGGTGTAAATTATGGGACCTACAACTTTTCTGTTAGTGTTATAGAAGAGAATTAATTAAGTGTCGATTTGTGAATGGAATGGAGCAATGTTTCAGAAGCATTGAATAATTTGTCCTTTTTGAGAGAACGTTTGTGTTTGGTATACACATTTTGGAGTCGATTTCAGTAATCCAAATTGTTCATTTTTTAAGTTTCGTTGAATAAAATATTCATGAAAATTAACAGGATCGAATATTGATAGTTATATGTTTGAATCACATTTAAAAAAAAAATAACAAATATAATTTCAAAAATAGTCATCTATTTTTTGTAATATAAATGTGATTGTTATAGTTATCGATATTAGATTATTTTAATTTTTTTTTGGAATATTCTAATCAACAAATTCTGAAAACTAAACAGTTTAGATTACCGAGGTCAGCCCCAAAATAAGCTTACCAAACCTAAATACTTTCTCAAGTTGAGATTGCCAACTTGAAAAAATCCAAACCTTTTTCGAAAACTGTTTTTAATGAGTTTTCATTTGTATTTAGTGATTTTTTTTTCATATTTTAATTAAATTCTTTTTCTTTTTAGAAGCACCTAGTTTAGATACATTAAAAAAAATCTGTTTTTAATGAGTTTTCATTTGTATTTAGTGATTTTTTTCATATTTTAATTAAATTCTTTTTCTTTTTAGAAGCACCTAACTTAGATACATTTAAAAAAAAATTGAATAAAATATAAACATAGTTCACTAAAACAAACGAAAATTTGAATAAAAACACGTGCATTTATGCTATATCTAAAAATTAAAATAAAATATGGAAAAAATTTAAGGAAATTTATTAGAAAATTTTCTTTCAAGTACTTGTATCCCAATTAGTTCATAAGATATTCTTGTATTCCAATAAATCCTATTATTTTGGACATTTGATCCACAAAATCCTAACTCTCATATTTAAGATATTTGATGGACAATTTTACACTTACAAATAATATATATATATATATATATATATATATACAATTTGGTGATGTGAATATTCACATCATGAAATATTTACACTGTTAATGTGAATAATACTGCGCACTTCACCTTATTATTATGAGAAATATTTTGATAACTATATTACCCGTAGAACTTATTGCAATATAAGGAGGTGACGAGATATTTATAAATATATGCCCCCAAAATTTACTAAAAAATAAACAAAAATTCACTTAAAAATAATTTTAAAAAATCAAACCAAACCGATGTAATTCGTTTCCTCTACTTTTCATGCTTGCAAGCACTACAAGAATTAACACTTTTGCCGACCAAAAAGTTGGTCGCTAAAATCCCATTTTTAGTCGGCAAAAGTTATGCGCGACCAATTTTTTTGGTCGCTACTTTGGTCGCCAATTAAGGGTTGGCAAAAGTAATTCATGACCAAAATTTTGGTTGGTCGAGAAAAGTTGGATTTGCCGACTAAATTTTTGGTCGCTAAATATATCATTACTGCGACTAATCCATTTTGTCGCTAAAACATTTTGGTCGCAAAAAGTCACCTTTTGCCGACCAAATGTCTTAGTCGCCAATTGTCACATTTCACGACCAACAAATTTGGTCGCCAATTATCACATTGAACGACCAAAAAGTTTGGTCGCCAATTGTGACATTTCACGACCAAAAATTTTGGTCGCTAATTGTGACATTCTGCGACCTCTTAGTTTGGTCGCCAATTATCACATTCCACGACTAAAAATTTTGGTCGCCAATTGTGACATTCTGCGACCTCTTAGTTTGGTCGCCAATTGTCACATTCCACGACCAAACATGTTTGTCGCCAAAAGAAATGTTTGCGCAACTAAAACTTTAGTCGGCAATACACCTATTCGTGACCAAATCCTTTGGTTGCCAAAATTAATAATTTTAACGACTAATTATTTAGTCACCAAATGTACTTGGTGATACATCGACTACTTTATTTAGTCGGCAAAAGTAAAAGATATCTTTCCCGAATAATCAATTGGTCGCCAAAACTATAAAAACAAAACCTAATTTTGGTCGCCAACATCCAACAAAATAAACCTGTAATTTATAACAATCCATCCAATTTATTCAATATAATCTGTAATTTGCAAAAATCATTCAAACCAACAAATAAATTGAATCATCAACATTCAACAAAATACATATATCAACCATTTCTGAACCTGTTTAATTAAAGTCAACAACTATTATAAGTTTACATCCACAAATAATTCCAAACTACATATTTCATCTAGCACAAAAATTGAAAACATAACAAGTACTTGTTATTATGTTTTAAATTTTTATCCATGTACATTAACCCAAAAATATAAGTAGTAGTTTACCAAATATTTTCTATACACACCCATCCAAAAATATAACTAGTAGTGTATCCAAAAATATAACTACTAGTCTACCCTAATATTTTCCATATACATCTATACAAAAATATATAATCCTTCAAAAAATGCAAAAAGTGCCAATTTGTCTTGTACAATTTAGCTTTGTGCACAAGTTCATCCATCTGTACCAAAGAAAAAGAGAAATAATGCCAGGTAAAATTGGACAAATAATGAAAAATGTCCATGAAAAGCAAAGGTCACATTAGCAAATTAAATGACTATCATTATCAAATTGTAAATAAAACAATAGCATTTTTATGTCTATAGAATAAATTGGATCAGCCACCATTCCAGATCCAATATAGTGCCACACAGCAGAAACCAACATGGCAACTGAAATTGATCCATATTGTCAATAACTCCTATCTTCCTCAATGAACCTTTCATGTGAATTAAATTTCAATCCAGAACCAACCACAATCAGTACCCCAGCTGTGTGTGCTGCTATGTGATAAAACAGCATTTTAGAAGCCTTCTGATGAAACCAGTATTGCCAAGGCTTCTGAAGGCTCTTGATCTGTCATGTTGTGATGAAACGAGTGTTACACTACTGCCACAGTGTTACACAGCAACATGCAGACCACCAAAGGAAAAGAAAGAAGAAAAAAGAAGATAGGAGCACACACTGAAGCCAGACAGATCATGCAGACAACCAGTTTACTCCAAAAACAAGCATCTAGACAGATCAGGATGACCATCCAGACAGATCACGATGATTTACAGATCAGAAAAAAGCTAGACAGATCTGGAGCACACACTGAAGCCTGACAAGTCATGCAGACCATCCAGACAGATCAGGATGATCTTTTTGAAGCTAGACAGATCATGTAGACCACCAAAGGAAAAGAAAGAATAAAAAGAAGACATAGAGATGGGCAGACCCACACTACTGCCACAGCGTTACACAGCCACAGAGCACAATGCATCAATCTGCTGCTGATGAAGACATAGCATACACAACTCCAGGGCAATGAGTTTCCATCAGCAGCCAACTTACAGACATAGTACCAAGCCCAGTAGACCCCAAAAACAAGCATTGAACTTCACCTAACAAGTATTGCCAATCAAAGATATAGTACACCTAACCAACATCTGATGCAGACCACCAGAATTGATCCAGATCAGTCCACCTTCATGACTGATGCAATGCTTCACCATGCAGACCAACAAAGGAAGAGAAAAGAAAGAAAAAGAAGAAATAGAGAGGAGCTAATTCAGAGCAGTTTTGGACCCCAAACGCCCCGGTTTTGCCTACTTTGCCACACTTTTATGTCCTACATAACCAATCATGCGTCCTATC